CAGATAATCACAGGAATTCCGCCTTGATCGACGGACAAAAAATTTCTTTCCATCTCATAAAAGTCTATTTTCCATGTCCAGTTGTCGTAACATTATAAAGGTATCTCCATAAAATCTGCAAAATCTCTCGATGCCATTATTTGGTTATTACGAATTCCTTGAACTTTTTTCAAATCGATAGACATTCTTCTCTTCCTCCATTGCAATTGAACATGAGAGGTCGGTTTTGCGACAGGCAGCTTATGAATCGCCGGCATACAATACTATCGATAATGCAAAAATAATTGCAAGCTTAAGAAAGGCTACATTCAGATTTTTCAAACTTTCCTCCATGTCAGATAATTGTATTATGTGCTCTCTGAATATATCTCTCGACAGGGACAAATAGGCAGGGCGATTATCAATTTTTCAGCCCCTTTTCGAGGACCCCTCGCTTTTACTCTTAACATTTAAATAATTTATGCACCATCGTTTCCGATGTAAGAGCACCGAATGATCGCTGTATTTTCCATGACGGGATTCATTTGTCTCGGCGCCTATCGGGAAAATTTCCTTCTCCGGATATATACTATCGTTTGACTTTGATGTATTTTGTGTATATTACAGAGATGAGCAACGAACTGCTTCTGGGTTGTTTAAGGATTATTGCTCTAAGTACGCTTAGTTCAACAGACTCTGATATACCGTGGAGGGAGGTTTCCACACAATAGAAATTGCATTACACAAGCCTTAGAGCTCATAAAAGTATAAAAACCGATCCGCATATTACGACCGTGTTATCAAAAATGTTTAACAGAAACAATAAGACTGTTTATAAAACAAATGAATAACCAGGGAAATTTAAAACGGTATTTTGCCTTCGTAAACACGGAGAGTTGGAACTCTCAAACTATGGTACTATATTTCTTTTTATAAAAGAAAATGAAGAAAGGCTGAAAATTAGAAGTGCCCCTTACCTTTGTAAATGTTGATGTATCTCTCGAAATTATTTGCCAGCAAATCCGCCGTCGGTTCGTCCATTTTGAGCGGGCTCTTATTTGTTATTTGATTTATTGGGAAGCCCTTTTGTTTTTATCTTTTGGAAGTTAAGATATTTACACCCGCGCGTTTATGAACGAACTATTTGCACTTTACTGTGAAGGAGGAATGAAGTGGAGTAAAAGAAACATATTATCAAGACATCATGGCCGATTGCACATGCGCAAAAGATCGGTGACTCAGCTGAACATGTCCAAGACAATAAGCAACCATGCCGCTCCTGCAATTATATCATAGTTAACCAGCCATAACTGTGCCACGGTATCTCCTCGTTTTACTCAGAAATATAATCTACTCATTGCTGACCAACTTCAGGACCGAACACTTTTACTATTACATGATTCTTCAGATTACTCTTCAAGAGTACCATTTTTTAAACAAAAGTCATCGACATGTACTGACTACAATGAAAGGCGCTAAGAACTTTAATCGATGTCGATAAAGTTAAATTCATCTGTATCTTTTTTGGCGGTAATGCCGTTTTGAATACTCAAGTGGAAACGTAACTTGGCGCGTCCCATTACCGACATTTATATTTATGTTGAACTCTTTTACAGTCTACGTTGAGAATTATACGAACTGACGGGTTCTATACGTCATTTCAATAAAGTCATGATGAAAAGATCGATGTAAAACTGTCGAAATCCCAGGAATTCATCATTTTAACAACTGTTTAGGACCAACGTCGCCATCTGTGACGTTTAGCTGCAACTCAATTTTTCCTCCAAAAACATGTGTTAGCCCTGAGACAAGCCAGCATTCTCTTCCAATCGTTGGTGAAAGTATTTACCACATTTTCCCATCTGACTCAGTAATATTCCATTTCTCCGGTATTCTTAATTGTTTAAGCTAGGTCCTGAAACACTTCATTTTCGATTCAAAGCCTCCAAGAAGCGTAAAACATCGAAAATGTGCACGGACCCCATCATGTTGGTTCTAGTCCATGATAAGTAAATAAATCTTTTCTGAAAAATGAATTTTCATGAGCTTCAAGACCTACATTAAGGTTTCCATATTCCCGTGATAAAATTTCAAACGAATCGGTACACCCAATTCGGAGAATACTTTCCCCAACGATTTGATCTCTTAAATGTATATAGGCTGACTCTATCATACGGCTAAAAAACCTATTTATTTCGTCAAATATATTCCAAAATTACACAATTTATTACATACACCAATCTCTGCATCGGACTTGATTTATTCTAATTATCACGCCGCCTATTCATTTTCTTCGTTTTACTTAATGTTTCGTAAATGTGATACTTTAGGAGTACACCCATGTACGTATATTTCGGGGTGTGAATTAATTGCGAATCTTCAACGGTTTATGAAGTAAATGAAATTCATCACGTCCACGCTTTTTCCTGCTTGCACAAAGAGCGGACCTCGTCGAAACTTGCACTTTGTGCTTTAATGCTCCCATGTAACAGATTCTATGCATGGATGCATGCGTCGCAAATCACGAGGTCGTTAAAAGTGTTCTCTCGGAAAGCTCTCGGTATATCCATGGTGCGTTTCGTTAGCGGCAATGCGTTACGACTATACTTTTTTATGGGGAAAAAATTAAAATTGCGTTCACGACCACAAGAGACGATCAATTGGTCGCTTCATGGATTTTTGTTATCCGACGTGGTCAAACCACTCAGAGTGGAAACTCTCCATCAAACCCTATATTTTTGGTATTAAATCTTTCGGGAGCTATATCTTTCATTTTATTATTATTTCAAATATATATCACACTATCCGGAGAGTGGACTATTCGTATTCCGTTTACCGAGTAACTGGATGAAACTTTTTATTCCATGATATACAAAATAATTGTTGTATTGTGTCATATTGTGTCTCGATGTGATAAGATAAAATATTTCAATCACGATTTCCCGTTGACCGAAGCAAATGAATACGTTATATTAATCGTGGATTCATTTTTTTTTTTTTAATGATTCATTAGTAAGTCAGAGCCATCTTCATTCTTCAGGCATCCACATCAATTTAGTTTCCTTTTCTAAATATGATATTTAGTTTCGTCCAAGTAGTTTTGTCTTTCTTTTTTTTTTCGGAAATTAAATCGGGAACACATTTGGAGTGATACGATTCCTAGATTGAACACAATTCCTAGTGATTCAAAAGATCCAACTATCAAGAGAAATTATATAACTCGCTGATTGAAATCCAAATTTCTTCTACATACTCTGCTCGGTAAATATCCGAAACAGCTAAAAATCAGCTAAAAAAATGTATGCATACAACAGAAAACAGCTAAAAAGAGTTGTGCATACTCGATAATCCCATTTATCGTTTAACATAATGAAAGGAGACTACATTTCCGTAATTACAAGTATTTTTATACCAAAACTGAGTATCATCTTACATTTTCCTAAACTATTAGGTTGATGCACAAGTTATGGCGTTTTTTTGTATACGTTACACTACATGTAAAAAAACGCCAATACTTATACATCAACCAGTACATACGCCGGTTTCCGATTTGCACGATTTTAATGTTCATATATTGCGGTTCTCTTGGCGAGCAATGTAATTCAATATTTCCTAAATCAGGGACGTGAAGTCAAGGCTGGAATTAAATTAGACAACAATTAATGATCGCAACGTTGCCCCAAAAGAATCGAATAGGGCATAAGTTAAGTTTATTGCATCTGCACGTCGACTTTGGGCGATATCGTTCCAATTTGAGTAAGGTCAGTAAGTCGTTTTTCCCTGAGTCGCTATCTTCTCACAAATTCCTAATCTATTCAGTTGATGCACAAGTTATGACTTTTTTTTTGTATACATTACATTACATGTAAAAAACGCCATTACTTATGCATCAACCAATACATACGCCGGTTTCCGATTTGCACGATTTTAATTTGATATATTGCGGTTCTCTTGGCGAGAAATGTAATTCAATATTTCCTAAATCAGGGACGTGAAGTCAAGGCTGGAATTAAATTAGATAACAATTAGTGATCGCAACGTTGCCCCAAAAGAATCGGATAGGGCATAAGTTCAGTTTATTGCATCTGCACGTCGACTTTGGGCGATATCGGGCCAATTTCAGCGGGGATAGTAAGTCGTTTTTCCCTTAACTCACGGGGAACGACTTACCCGGAGTGACTGGAACGAGCTGAAGCATCTCCCGGAGAATTATTGGATTAGCTTCGACAACTTCTTACCCCGTGGCGATTACTTCCAGGCATTTGGGGGGGGGGGGAGGGTCGAATTAATCGAGCGAGTTCGCCCTAAACGGTAACAACTTTGGCGATGACCCCCTGGTCCTGCTTGCCGGGAACCACTCTTGACGATTTGTCACTCCTGAGTCCAGGTTGCCATCTCGGGGATGCCTCACGGGGATGTTTTGTCAGCCCGCACCCTCTAAATACCTCCGTATTCACTCAGAAGAGCGATTCTTTACCTGACAAAACGTACCCCAAGGAGCTGCCCCAGGAGAAGTCCACACATCATTAGAGGAAGACAATTTGTCATCGCGGTGATTAACTGGAAGCTCCAAGTTCTATCGAGGGCTTTCATGGTTTAGTTCTTTAACTGACAAGGGGAATCTCAAGAGATTGTTTAGGAGCAAATCTGCACATAATTAGTGGGAGACGATTTGTCATCGCGGTGATTAACTGGAGCCTCAAAGTTCTGCCGAGAGCTTTGGGGTTTAATTTTTTCACTAGCGTAAGGAACCTCGAATTGTCTAATGGCAAATCTACATTCTATTGACAAGAGGAATCTTAAGAGATTGTCTACGAGCAAATCTGCACATAACTAGTGGGAGACGATTTGTCATCGTGGTGATTAACTGAGGCCTGAGAGACATGATTTCATCATCAACAGAACACTCACTGATGGTCCTGGTGGTGATCACATTAGTATGTTTGTTGTGTTATCTACGTTTTTGAAGTTTACCCTTAAAATTTGTGTGTTCTAACGAATGTTTCTGTATATTCAGAAGCATGATCTGTATGTCACCAGGAAACTTGTTGGTGATTCTGGTGGTGACGTTTTCCCGCCGTCTAAGAAGCATCACCAACTTCTTCCTCGCGAACCTGGCAATGGCGGACCTCTGCGTCGGCGTCTTCTGTGTCTACCAGACGCTAACGAATTACCTGATGAACAGCTGGCGTTTGGGAGACTTCCTCTGCAAAGTCTACATGTTCGTCCACGCCCTCTCCTACACGGCCAGCATCATGATCCTGGTAGTGGTGTGCTGTGAGAGATACTTGGCAATCGTGCACCCCATAAAGTGTAGGTCAATGTTGACCAGACGTCGCCTAAGAGTCGTCATAGGGATAGTATGGCTGCTGGCAGCCATATATGCATCCCCTAGGTTCATTTACGTAGAGACCATCGACAACCACCTGGACACTGGGGAGGTGGACGTGATTTGCATGCCAAACATGAAGAAGCACAACAAAAACGTTTTGGACGCGGTGAATCTCGTCTTCCTGTACCTGCTGCCTCTGTTTTTGATGTGTTGTCTGTACACCAGGATAGCCGTCGGTTTGTGGAGAAGTGGAACCGCCCTTGGTGGTCCTGGGCTAGTTGCCAGGGCCAGGAACGGCAGGGTCCACCACGTCCACACATCCAGCAGAAATGTTCTAAGGGCGAGACGGGGAGTCATCAGGTAAATCAACAACTCCAAACGATTTTATTGAGTTCTTCCGTAAGTTCCCGCGTTTTTTTAAATTTTATTTCTTTTGTTTGACAAAGGGTATATATGCATTCGAAAGACCTTTTCTTGCTGTACTAAACTATAGGCATCGTTTTTCTTAAAAGCTTAATTTTAACTAACTTTCGGGCTTTTGAAATGGAAGGTACAGGGAGCAAGAACATCCGTTTTCGACCCTTGCTCTATTGGGTCTTTGGGGGTGTCTCCTGATGCCGTCCACTCCTTCCTTTGCTTCATATTGACGTAAAGGCACCATTTCTCATCTCCGGGGACAACTCGATATAGAAATCGTTGATTGTGACCGCGTGTTGTGTGATGACGGGCGAGATTTTGAGCAGCTTTGATACGGCGATTTTCTTTGTTGTCGTCGCTTAACATGTACGGCTCCCAAGCCCCGAGTTATTGAGTAAATCTCATAGATTTACCCAATCGAGAGATTGAATGTCAAGAGATTGTCACAAGGCCACGGTCCATCTTCTCAGCCAATTTTCGGCATCTCTGACGGCCATCCTCCTTCAAAAGCGCCACGAGATGCTCGTCAACGAACTTTCTGTAGCTTTTTGACCACGACAAAAGGCGAAACAGAGCAAGGGTTCAAAACGAATTTTTTTGCCTCCGGAAACTTCCATTTCAAAAGCCCAAAAGTTAGTTCAAATTAAGTTATTAAAAAAAACGATGCTTATAATTTTGTACAGCAAGAAAACGGCTTTCGAATGCATATATACCCTTTGTCAAACAAGAGACAAAATGGCGAGGAAAGAAATAAAATAAAAATTAACGCGGGAACTTATGGAACAATCGAATAGGTCCAAATCACCGTATCGTTGTCAGTTTCTCAAATCTCTCCGACATTCGTTACCATTTTCTTAACTCTTCCAATCAGGATGCTGATCGCCGTAGTGATGATGTTTGCGGTCTGCAACCTGCCACAGCAAGCTCGCATTGTGTGGCTTCACTGGGATCCAAACTACGACCGGACGTCGGATTTCAGCACCATCCTAACCGTCTCTACCTTCCTGATCTCCTACACGAACTCCTGTCTCAATCCATTGTTGTACGCTTTCCTGTCGCGAAACTTCCGCAAAGGTATGCGAGAGTTGTTGGTCTGCAGCTCCAGGGGCCAAGGTAGCAGACTGGGAATGGGCTGCGTGGGTGGAGACACGGTTCGCAACGAGAACGGGCAGAACACAAACCCACCACACAGTTCCGTGGTCAGGCTGAGTTCGGCCCACGACAGTCCCTGCACCACGCAGACCATCACCAGGCAAAGTACCTACGGAAGGAATTCCTAGACCTTGATTTGTTCGATCGCTCTCCGCTCACCTTCTCTTGGTGTCCTCTTTTGCTCTGCAGAGAAGTGGAAATGTCCCTTTGGAAGGAGATCGACGAAGGCAGCGGACTGATGGATTCTGGTACTGCCGAAGGGAACCTATAACCAGTCCAAGATGTGCAACCTGTGGAACCCCGGCAGATGAACGTTAGGCCCAACGTTAGGTACGTCAATGGCCAACATAGAAACCTTCGATACTGCTTAGATGTTGGAGTTGGGCTCATGACAGCCCCTGCACCATGTCGGAAGTGGCCATGTATAGAAGATGGATGTCTGGCTTCATTTGTTCGATCATTCCTTCTCTGGGCGAGAAATGAGTATATGCACGGGTCTCAACTAAAAGACTCCAGTTTTGATAACGAACGCCGATGGCGAGCCAAGAAAAGGTGTCCTAGCAGAAATATACAACCTGCAAAACCACGGGAGCTGAACGTTGAGTCTAGAATTAGGTACACAGGTAGATCTCATTGACGTGAGACTCTACCATGGATTTAAAAGTTGAACTCACGAGAGCCCTTGCATCAGCAGATCAAGTACAAACGGAGGTTTTCCAGCTCAATTTACTCGACCCCTTCTTTTTTGGAAGGGAAGAAAGAGTGCGGGAACTTTATCATCTCGTAAACAGAAAGACTTCTAATGGGTACTTGTGGCCCAGATATCTGATCCAAGGATATGCAGCTGACGATGCCAAAGTAGCTGTATTTGGATCCAACATTGGACACCGCCAGGTACCAAGTTGCAATTCTACTACATAGCTCCTTCTCCGTAGATGGGCTCATGACAACCCCTGCACAGTGTTGGAAGTGAGAAAGTAGGAAAGAATGTTCTCCAGCTCCAGTTACTCGACTTTTTATGTCCTGGGAAGGAAACGCGAGTGCAGGGATTTTGTGGTCTCGTAAAGGACTTTTAGTGGATGTTTGTGGTCCAGATTTCCAATCCAAGAAAATGCACCTCACAGGGTCAAGGCAGCTAAATCTTGGATCCAGCATCGTTAGGTGCCAATTTGGAAATCTGCCACTCCTCTTTCTTCGGAGTTGGGCTCGTGACAGCCTCTTGACAACGCGTCGAAAGTGACAAAGTTCGAAAGAAGGTCTTCTAGCTTGATTTATCTATCTCCCTCGAAAGGACAAGGAGAAAGCAGACGGGGTGGACTTCTAGATAGGACACCAGGATTCCTGATGGGTGTCTGTGGTCAGTCTAGGAGGCAGTAGGTCCTATTCGTCTTCCTGTGGGAGAGATCCCTTAAAGCGATAGACTGCTTCGAAACAGGATACAACGTGGAGTCGGAATCCAGTCGAGTTTATACCGAGACTGAGACTTTTCAATCCGCTTTCATGAAAGTGAAACGACACAAACGGGAGCCGAATGACTCGGGATAGTTCAAAATGAAATTCAGCTTGGATCAGTCCAGCTCTCTAAATTGGTAGACACGTTGGAGGCGAGTTGTTGGAACTCTGAACATGCTACTGATGCGAACATCGAGGAAACCCTCCAGAAAGCCAAAATAAATGATCTCAATTTTTTTTTTCTTTACTTTCTAGTCTCGATTTCTACAATATACGATTGACTTCGGGTGATGGAGCGATCGCTGTAAAAGGAGGTTCTCTCCCTTTATTCTAAGAGACTTTTACCTCTGCAAATATTTATCTTGGCCAGAACTCCGCAGACAAGACTATCCTTCAGATCCGCTACGACATAGATGCCCTTAATCTATCGAAAAGAAGTTGAGGTAGGTTCGGGATACCGCCGGGTGGGGATCGTTAACGTCCTGCAGGATCTTCTCCCTTGCCCCCAGAGCTTCGGATACGACGAGATAATGATGCTCGGAACACAATTCTGCTATCCAGAAATTCCTCCAGGAGTTTCAATCTTGATCCGATTTTCTAATTTTTAATTAATGACTTTTTCGAACTGATTGTCATTACTGTGTACAGAGTATAGGTATTCTCTGATTTTTTTTTCAAGCCGAAACCCCGTTCCAAAAATGCATATAAAGTACACAATTAAATTCACAACTTAAGTGAAGGTTGAAAAGTGCAAAAGTTAGGCACTTCTATTGAACAGAGTTTGTGTTCCTTTTTTATTTTTTGATGGAAGGGCGGGGGGATAAAATTCAATAAGTACTGGTAAGTAATTTTTGTTTCGAGGATAAAAGAATCTCTGCGTAAGAAGGTGTTGAGTATGTGAATGTTGTTAAACAGTGTAAATTATAAGACTCGTCGAATGTACAATTACTGGCTTGTATATCGCTCCGCGGCATTAATTAGAAACGAGTAACATAATTTGTATGGTTTGTCATGTATATATAGAAATATTAGGCATAAGGAGTATTAAGGTTTTCGTAATTGTTGTAAACCTGATATTTATGTGCATTATTAATGCTGCAAAAGGCGTCGCAATTATCGTTATTTTATTACATACCGGGTAGAGAATACTTTTCTCGCGAAAGAAAAGAAATAGGGAAAATTAGAGAACAGCTTGGAGCATCTCATGTATTAAGTGTAAGGGAAAGTTCTGTCGTTTTTAACACGTATACTTCTATGCGTCGAAGAACGACAAAACTTTCCCTTACACCTAGTAATAAGTCCTCTCGGAGTTCTTCGAGATGCGAAATTGAAAACCAGAAAGACTCTTTAATCCCAAATCCTTCGAATTCATTCGAAGAAAGTAAAGTGGAAAACAACGAAAATGCATACCTCTGATCCTGTAAATGAGAAACCGTCTTCTTTACCTTCAAAATAAAGATTGAAAATCGTCAGTGCTCCTTTAATTTAGCTTTCATTGATCCAAACCCTCTTGCGACAAGTAATATGATCAAACTTACGCAAAAAAATGATGCCATTGAAATCTATAGAAAGAAGAGAATTTTGAAAGGTCAATTTATTTCCATTTTAATATTAAGTTTTAATTTCGTAAAGTATGGAAGTCTCTTCCTTTATTAATTCCATCTAAGTACTCCTTTAATCCAGCTGTCGATCGTAGAAACCGTTCAATTTAAATATATTTGCAACAAAACGAACATTGCTATGCCAGGTAAGCATTAAGACTAACTTTTTGAAGAATTTTACTGAAAAACCTAAATTCTGAACAATTTATTCCTCTACGTCTGACGAATAGTATCTGTTTTTAATTTTGCATGATACGGAAGCTAGTTTCTCTTTTCAGATTTGTTGAAAAAAAAAGTGCTGTTATTACGTTAACATTTAATTTCATGCAATTTCGGACCGTTGCAAAAATACAATTGTGTAGTGGGACCGCGCTCGTACTTTTTGTCAACGCTTTCGTCGAGTTTCTTTCGTTATCGCTTTTAACCCTCCATCTATTTCTATTAGATTACTCCACAGGATATATCCGAAACTGAAAGGATTGAAGGTTCCTAGTGAGCCATGTCAAGATACATCACCGTGGAGATTCACGACAAAACCTTCCCATCTTAAAGTGCAAGCATCGGGGGTCCTGAAAGTGACGAATCGTCGAAGAAATTGAAGAGAACGGCATTTGCTCCAAAAAGACGAAAATTCAATAAAATGTACATTTCCAGGTCAGTGCAATCTAAAATTTCATAATTCAAGTCTAACTAATATGCTGCTAAGCAACCTAAAAAATGGTTATTCGTACATTCATAAGCATTAAAAAATAGTAGGAGACTAAAAATAAATACATTCCGTTTTAAAAACAATTGTTGCGAAATATTACCAAGATATAAAACAAAAAACCCTTGAAACAAACGCTTAAATTTTTGTTTCACTTGGGGCACTCCCAAACTTACAGATACTATTGTACAATTCAGACATCAATTTGTTTACGTTAACAATAATTTTGACTTGCCTAATATTCCATAATAAAGGAAACTCTTCGTATTTATCCATTAGTAGGAGTTTTTTCAGACATTGTCAATTCAGACATCAATTTGTTTATGTTAACAATAATTTTGGCATGCCTAACATTCCATAATAAAGGAAACTCTTCGTATTTATCCATTAGTAGAAGTAAACTTTTGTTTCACTTAGGGCACTCCCAAATTTATGGATACTATTGTACAATTCAGACATCAATTTATTTATTTTAACAATATGAAAATAAACTTATGGAATATGGCTAACAATATGGAATAAACTTATGGAATTAGGCATGCTTAATATTCCGTAATAAAGGAAACTCTTCGTATATATCCATTAGTAGGAGTCTTCAACACTTGTATATCAATTGAAATATGAGAGCTCGATGCCATTTTGGTTCCGGTCTATGCTAAGTCGAAAAATTTTTGTTCGAAAATCCAAATTTTTAATGTGTCAGGACAATTCTTAGCTGATCACGAGTCATGTGTCAAAGTTTCGGACGGCTCGATGCAATACCCTTAAAAAAAAGTGTCTTGTTCGAGTCGTATGATTTGAGGGAGCTTTCAGTTCACCTTGAGAGCTTATTTCCCGTTCGTTGGCACCTTCCTTGGCCATCGATTTTAGACAACTACTTTGGCCGTCGTCGGACGACGTCCCGCGGGATGTGACTCGCGAGTTAGCAGACGATCCAGAGGGAACCCCGGAACTTCTCTGACGTTTAGGAACAAAGTTACCGGCTACACTTGTTCCAGATGCGACCGTGCAATAATGCCGAGTGGGATCGATTTACCGGAATTCCGTATTCAGGGAGCGAGCCGGAAGCTCGAGGAGCGTGATATCGAGCGACGTGTAATCGGGCCTGCTTATCTCGTACTTAAGGTGAAGTGAAACACGTCGAGGAACTTGATCGACGTCGGTAAAAAAGATTCTTCTAAATACCTACGTTGCCGAAGTTCGTTTTTATATCGACAGCTGTGTTGAATTATATTGGGTATTGCACTAAATGGCGTACTCCACCTGTCGTTTTTGTACAATAATTATAAAGAAATCGAAGTAAAACTCCAGAAATCTTCTGGATTCATGGTTTCTGAGGCCCTAATTGCCTGCAGAGGGACCCCCTGCG